ATTCTTTTTTGTGAGTCCTTATCGTATTGTTTGTGTGTGTGTGCGTGTGCGTACGTCTGTGTGTGTGTGTGTGTGTGTGTGTGTGTGTGTGTGTGTGTCTGTGTGCGCGCGCGCGTGTGCGTTTGTGTTTCTGGAAGGGGGTATGTATTTTTTGGTACTTAATCTATCCTCTGTCCTTAAAGTGTGTGTGGTTGTGAATGATTTTTATACGTGAGTGTGCATGAGGGTGTGCACGCACAAAAGGACGAAAAATGAAGCAAGGATGGGTGGATAAATGGATGGATGGATCAATGGATGAATGGATTGGTGGAAAGAGGAATGAACAAGCACAATCTATGAGATCGTACTTTTGTGTGACCTATTGTTTAATTGTGAGTTGATATACGTACTTTTTTGGGGTAAATGTTTTACGGCGCTCGCAACTGCATAAGGTCATATGAGCGCGCGGGACCCACCTAACATTTTCAGTAGGTAGGAAATTTTGAACTTTGCCCGGGTGACGGCCGAAGCCTACTCTTATCGATTTTGGACAACCACGGGATCTTTAACGTGTGCAACTTGCACACGGGCCCTTCGAGATTTTTCGCCCTTGTCCGAGAAGGCTAAGTGTAGATCTTTCCTACCAGAAGATCAGGGGTGAGGCTGAAAGACAACAGTAAGGAGCCAAGGGGTAGCAGAAGAAAGGGTGCAGAAAGAGTCAGGAGCCCAGAGGAGTGGGCAAAGGAAATGAGTGGGTGCGGGCAGAAAGAGGATTCGAAAGAAGACGACAGAACATTGTTAAAGAGCAGGAAAGGAGATGAAAGCAGACAATTTTGGAGGAGAAAAATGTTCGGTCGCTTTCCGGATTCGAACCCCGGACCTTTGAATGAGAGGCCAACACCTTAACCTCTTGGCCACGAGAGCCCCCCTATATAAGATAGATAGAACTGCAGGCAGAGAGGCAGACAGTTAGACAGAGAAACAGACAAACAGACAGTCCTACCTGAGGTATCTATGTAGTAGAGCTCGTTCTCTATAACCATGAGTATGATTCCTGTGATGGCTACTGCCAGCATTAGGTCCACAAGCCACCGACGACGCTGTGGGGAGAGATAAATAAAGATGTATTCATATTATGCATTGTAATTGACATAATTTATATCCCCCAACATACATGCCACTATATTGTCTTCTCACTTAGCTTCTCTCGACTTCTTTCTTGGCCTGATAGAATTGGCTAACACTAACAATGTCATTTTAGCAGAGACTGTGCCCACCGTTTCAGAACCTCACGGTGACCCTAAAAATGGTTCCAGTAGGGGGTTCGAGCCTCAGCTCGGACCGACGTTGTGTCCTTGGGAAAGGCACTTTACACGAACTTCCCACTTGGCTCGGTCTTATCGGAGACGGACGTTAAACTAGGAGGTCCGGCCCCTTAAATAACCTAATAGTGTTGATAGGGGCGTTAAACAGATACCATTCCAGATCAATAACTTACATTTGGGTTATATTTTAATCCTGGAATCTCCATCTGTAACAGCTACTCGTCATGCTAAGTATGCACGTAATACACTATTGGACACTATCATGCGCACTTTTTTCTTCTAATCAGATGGCGTCAATCTCATATAAATGGGCAAGGGATAAAAAAGGACACAATACAATTTTGATCATTAAAGAAGTGGGTTACTTCATCGTTGCCTTCTTAGTTAATCAAGGCGGAGTGGACACAGCATAGTAGTAGACAGACGGAGATGCTATATTTAAAATTAAAGAAAACAAACAACAAAAAACCTCCCACTAGAGAATCGAACTTTCGTCCTCTCTACATATATATACACATTATGTTTATAGGACGTTCAGGGTGTGTTTCGGAGTTATAATCAATTTCACCGTGTGCGTAGATATTGTTACAGGTGACATGCATTCTTAATTAGGGGGTTTAGCTGACATTGTCTGTCCTTTTTTCATTAGTATACATTAGTCATTTCTTATTTATTGAAAACGATATTTAAATATAATAATATCTTTTCTCAAGGCAATAGCTAAGGAACCCTAAATACCAAATTAGTGTTCTAGGCGTACAGCCACAACCTACTCATAAACTAAATGTTGTATTGTACTATTAACCATAATTATATTGAGCATAACAAGAAATATCAATGTTATTGCTGAAATGAAAAGGCCTTTCATTCATAAACCCATACCATAATTTATATCCCCCACCTGAGAGCGAAAAGGGGAGGGGGTTGTTTGTCCCATAATTTAGACGTTCCTATCATTTTATGTATTTACCGATGGGTGAATACTATCTCTTACTTAAAGTCACGGGCTGTAGTTCATGATTTCTTCTTTTTTTAAAAGGAGGTAAGATATCACCAAGAAGGTATTTCTGCTCCTCAAGCCTCGTGTCGTGCCCATGTAAGAAAACAGGCGATGTGACGTGGGTGTTATCAATTGGTCAGAGGATAAAAGTTCAATCTGACCCACAGCAAACGGAATATCAATTTATGTTGTTAAACCGACTGGAGTATTAAATTTCGATAATGAATATGTTTGCTTTGTGGTTTTAACCAAACGTTTTTGCTGAGTTTCACAAGCAATATTGCTTGATCTTAAAACAAAAACAAAAACACACAAACACAATATTTCAAACTACATGGATATAGAGCTATTACAAAAACGCTTAGTGGGACTACAGAAATTATCAGCACCACTATCATCATCATCATCATCATCATCATCATCATCATCATCATCATCATCATCAT